TATTTAATTTTAAAAATTGTTGGATAATGATAATGTGGGTATGCTTGTGTCTTAGCAGGAACAGGTCCGAGATGGGTACCAGCACGGTGGGTGCGACCAGCTGTCTCAACACCAGCTGTAATGTGATCACTGCACTTCCAGCAGCGGTTTGGACACTCACCACGAAGTCACGCTTTGTTTGTCAAACTGCCTCACCAAGAAATCGTAAGAACTGGAATCGTCGGGAATTGGTTACCATAGACTATTGTTTGTATGCTTAAGAGTCCATCGTTTGTTCAATCTGATAATTTTGGTAAAGTGCTACTTTTAGAATTGTTTCTGAGCTTTGCTTCTTTTTCTGTTAATAGAAAAGGGGGAGATGTGGGATAAAGGAGGTTATTGCTAATGAGTGGCAAAGCTCAACAATAACTTGAGCCAGACCTATATACTCACAAGTCGCCTAGCCCTCCCATGTAACCAGTCTTGGTTGCATGGGAAAACTGTGGCAAGCACCTACGATAAAAGTCTTTTCTTCTGCACCAGCGAAGGAGTCAGCACCTCTTTCGCCACACCTGCAAGGGAGCTTGAGGCCCTCTTGCACCCCTTCATGCCAATGAAGAGGGTGATACACGGACACTCGAAACAGGAACTCCTGAAACCAGCCAGGCAGAGACCATCTGGCCTCTCAGAGAGCATCTGTTTGCTTTGGGAGCAACTTCCTCAACAAAAATGGGCAGTGAAAGGCTTGCTTGAAGAAACTGATTTGAAGAAGTAGAGCACAATGTATTTTGTAACTTGTCCTTAGAAACAGCTGATGTGAAAATGTAGAAATACCACATGTTTAAGTAGCATATTTTAGAAATGCAGTTGTTGAATTAAGTGATTAATTCTCACTTTCCAAACTCTAATCATTGCTAAATGTTGCGAATAGTACGGGTATAGTATTCTAGACTAGAAAGCGTGTCATAAGGCTATTCTGTTTTGATAGCAATCATAATAAACATACCTATTTTATAATCTTACGTAGTGTATGGGAACTGCTGAATCGTGGCCTGACCTCTAACTGATCACCTGAGGCGAGCAATGAGTCAGCCATGGGAGCACAGGTGAAGGCAATTCACCTGTGCTGCCAGAAGGTGTGGAGCCTGGCTCCGCCTCTCCTGGACCCATTTAAGAGCTGACTACCAGTAGGGAAGGATTTCTTCTGGAGATCCCTCTTCTGGAGTTTTGCAGTGAGCCCAGGACATGGGTAAGTTTTTTAGCTATGTTGTTTTTGCTATTGTAATCTGCTGTGCCAAACTCTCTTGTTTATTTCATAATTATAACATCTTTATATGCACTGACTATATATGTGGGTTATGGAGTTTGATTCTGCACATCAAAGCCCTCTGCCTGTAAGTCTTTATCAGAGGAAGCAGGGACAGGGTGCTGACTGCTTGGTTGCCACAGAGTTGGGTAGCATGGAAGAGGTGACCCACTGATTTCCCACCTTCTCCTGGGCGTGATGGTGGCACTTCCTTGCTCTGGCAGCTCTGGCTGTTTTCCAGACCCTGCATTATAGAGGTAAAAAATTACAAGCTTTCAATAATCACCCATCAAATGAGTGGTACGTGTCTGAGTGCTGCAGAAGCCCAGGCTTCTTTCTGTTGCCCTTGGACTGCAGAATGCAGCCATTTTAGCAGGGGTGACTGCCAAGCTGCTCTCTGCCATCTATCAGTGGTTGTGTGGGGAGGTCCCAGAGCATTGGAGGCTTGCTGATGTGACTGCCATCTACACAAAGGGCCACAAGGAGTATCTGGGGAATTACAGGCCTGTCAGCCTGACCTTGGTACCAGGGAAAGTTATTGAGCAAATCATCTTGGGTGAGATCACATGGCAGGTGTGTGGCATCCTGGGGATCAAGCCCAGCCAACACAGGTTCATGAAAGGCAGGTCGTTTCCTTCTACGACTGGGTGACCAGACTGGTAGATGAGGGAAATGCTGTTGATGTAGTCTACCTAGACTTCAGCAAAGCCTTGGACACAGTCTCTCCCAGCATTCTCCTGGGGAAACTGGCTGCCCGTGGCCTGGACAGGTATACCCTTCGTGGGTAAGGAACTGGCTGGAGGGCCGTGCCCTCTAACAGGTAGTGGTTAATGGAGTTAAGTCCAGTGGTGACCCGTTTCAAGTGGTGTCTCCCAGGGGTCGGTACTGGGGCCCATGTTGTTTAATATTTTTTTATTGATGTCCTAGTTGAGGGGATTGAGTGTACCTCATAAAGTGTGCAGGTGCCACCAAGCTGGGAGGTAGTGTGGATCAGCCTGAGGGTAGGGAGGCCCTTCAGTGGGATCCAGATAAGCTGGATTGCTGTGCTGAGATGAATGGGATGAGGTTCACCCAGGCCAAGTGCCGGGTCCTGCACTTTAGCCACAACAACCCATGCAGCGCTATGGGTTGGGGCTGAGTGACTGTATGACTGTGAAGAGGAAAGGGACCTGGGGGTGTTGGTTGATGCTCGGCTGAACGTGAGCTGACAGCGTGCCCAGGTGGCCAAGAGGGCCAACGGCATCCTGGCCTGCATTAGAAACAGTGTGGCCAGCAGGAGCAGGGAGGTGATCATCCCCTGTACTCAGCACTGGTGAGCCCGCACCTCGAGTGCTGTGTTCAGTTTTGGGCCCCTCATTCCAAGAAAGACATGGAGGCCCTGGTACGTGTCCAGAGGAGGGCAGCAAAACTGGTGAGGGGTCTGGAGCACAAATCTTCTGAGGAGCGGCTGAGGGAGCTGGCATTGTTTAGTCTGGAGAAGAGGAGGCTCAGGGGAGACCTCATTGTGCTCTACAACTGCCTGAAGGGAGGCTGTGATGAGGAGGGGTTTGGCCTCTTCTCCCAGGCAACAAACAAGACCTGGGGAAATGGCCACAGGTTGTGCCAGGGGAGGTTTAGGTTAGACTTAAGGAAGAACTTTTTCTCTCAGAGAGTGATCAGGCGCTGGTATGCCCTGCCCTGGGAGCTGGAGGCGTCGCCGTCCCCGGCAGTGTTCAGGAGGCGTCTGGATGAGGAGCTACGAGATATGGCTTAGTGCTCGTGGGAGCGATGGTGACGGGAGGGCGGTTGGACTGGATGATCTTGCAGGTCCTTTTCCAACCTTGTGATGCTATGATTCTCTGTGCCGCTAGGAGTCGCTGTGGTGCCGCGCAGGGACGCGGCCGGCATCCCGCAGCACCTACGCTGCTACGGAGAGGAAAAACGTCTGAACCCCTTCCTCTTAGGAGATGAGGTTGAGCCCGAGGAAGCGTTTGATTGCAGTTTTACAGAGTGTCTCAGGAAATCCCAACCACTTAACGTCAGATCCCGCAAACTCTGCTGCAAACCCTGTTCTTAGAAGGACAATCTCAAATATCTGTTGATGGCTTTCTAGGTTCTCACACCTCTTGCCTACTCTGCCAGCTTTGGCCACCTGTACCTGTCACTGGGTGACTGCATCACGCATCTGGGATGAGTTCACAGGCACTCCTTTGAGGTCTCAGCTCTTGACATATGTTGAAACTTTTCCACTGTGCTCAAGGAGATGACTAAGCTCTTAAAACTGATGTGGGCAACTGTGTGTCTGCTGTTTGGACTTCTCTGGTCTCTCATTGCGAACCGATGGAGGAATGCAGCCTGCCTCTTCTATTGTCTGAGCATTCTCTGTGAATTTCATCCGATCTGGCTTCTAGCAATGGTGATGCCCCATCATGGTGAGTCTCTGCCAGACGGGCTCACTGATATATTGCCTTGCATTGCCACCGCTCCCTACTGCGTGACTTTGTGTGCCAGCATCCCATCACACATCCCCTTGCCCAAGCACTGCTTCACCCACCAGAAGGCAGGAAGAGGGCTGAACTAGCTGGCCATCAGCCCTCTCTAAGAA